TAAAAAGAAGAAGAAGAAGAAGAAGAAGAAGACGACGACGACGACGAAGACGACGACGACGATGAAAATGAGACAAGACGAAGGCATCGAAGTGATCGATAATTTAGCATGTATATGTGTGTGTGTGTGAAACAGAAAAAGTGAGAGAGAGAGAGAGAGAGAGAGAGAGAGAGAGAGAGAGAGAAATACACAATGAAAAAAAAAGAAGAAGAGGAAAAAAAAAAGAAAGAAAGAAAGAGACGGTTAAAGAGACGACTTCGTCGTCACGTTTATTATGTAAATCAAACCGGAAGTTCTTTCCCGTTTTCCTCTTCCTCTTCCTCTTCCTCTTCCTCACTTCGTCTTTCATCCTTTCTTTTTCTACCGCCAGCAGCATCACCCCTATAATTACCATCTTCCCGTTTTCGTGGTACATCGAGAAACGATCTTCGAAAACGAGTTTGAAAGCATCCCCCAGTGTACACATTGAATCTCTCTCTCTCTCTCTCTCTCTCTCTCTCTCCTTGGTATTTCTTTTTAGAACATTTTTAACTCAAAAGTGATTTGCCGAGAGGGGGAGGGGTTTTTTAAGGGAAAGTTCAATGGAACGGAATAATATCGAATGCTTATTTACTTATCGATCATTTTCTTTTTTTTTCCTCTTTTCTTTTTTTAATCAAATACATACATAATATATATATATATATATATATATATATATATATATATATATATATATAGTTGTTTTCTATGGTAGAGGATAAAACTGTCGATTGGAGAATTAATTCATGAAAATGTAATTTGATGCTCTGTCGTGGAATCAAATTAGCGGATATTCTGTTGAACTGATTGTTATCTCGTGGTTGTTTAAGTGTAAGAGAGAAAGAAAAAGAGAGAGAGAGAGAGAGAGAGAGATAGAGATAGGGTGAAGGGTAGATGGGATAGAAAAGGGGAATCGATGTACTGTTTTCTCTTTCTATCTTCCCTTCTTTCTTTTTCTCTTTATGTTTCAGCCTGGGTAGATGCAAATTTCGAGGCGTACCGCGAAGACGAAATTACAGGAAACCAGAGAAGGAACGAAAGTTTCTTCTATCTACCCTCTATCTATCTATCCATCTATCTATCTATCTATTTATCAATCTATCTATGTATCTTCCTCTCCCCCTCCCCGCTAATACTTTTTGACTACCCTCACTCGTTTCCCTTTTCTTTTCTTTTATTTCATTTTCCTTTTCGTTTTCTTCTTCTTCTTCTTCTTCTTTTTATTCGTTTTTTCTTTTCTTTTTCTTTTTCTTTTTCTCTTTTTTTTTTTTCTTCTTTTTTCCCCTCTTTTTCTACTTCGGACCCCATATAATTTGCATCTAAAGAACCATCGAAAAGTACGAAGTATTCGATGAAAAATCTTCCAGTTTCTTCTCTTAATGCTATATTTTTTTTCCTTTTTACTTCTTTTTTTATATTTTTTTATTTTCTCATTTTATTCTAAAGACCGGATTTATTTTTAATATTTTTTTTATATTTATCTTCATATATATATATATATATATATATATATATATATATATATATGCGTGTGGGTTTTTTTTGTATGTAATTTTTTTTTCGTTTTTTTTTTTTTTATGAAGAAATGAGCATGAAAACGTGATAATAAATATTAATCGAAAATTTCGTTGAATATTCGTGGAATCATTAATTGTCAATGCATTCGATTTAATGACTGGCTCGATTACACAAGAATCTTCGATCGTAAGTTGTGGTGATAGCTCAGAAGAAAAAAGAAAATTAAAAAGAAAAGGAAAAAGAAAAAGAAAATCGACGGTAATTAGTTCGCGTGTAATTAATGATACAATACATTTTCAATTATACCGTTTCGTTGATTAATAATTGTTTACAAATATAATTAGCAATTAAGTCGGAAACAAATTACTTTTGCCATTAGTAATTGGTCCGTTGGTATTAATTACAAAATTATAAATGTAATTAGTGATTAAACGTGTAGTTAATTGCACAAGTAATTACCGTACCTGTATCTCTCTCTCTCTCTCTCTCTCTCTCTCTCTCTCTCTCTTTCTTTCTTTCTTTCTTTCTTTCTTTCTTTCTCTATCTCTAACTCTATCTTTGTCTCTCTCGTAAGAAGTAAGAGAAGTTCGAGTTCGAGAGTATAAGCAGGGACTAATAGATGAGAAAAAGAAAGAAAACGGAAGTGCAGATGAAGAGAAAGAAGAAGAAGAAGAAGAAAATGAAGATGAAGAAGAGAGAGAGAGAGAGAGAGGGAGACATAGTATACTCTAACAAGAAAATGTGGTAGAGCTTCTTCTTTGGAATTTACCTTCTACCATAATGAGCGCAACAGCTTGCACTGATGTGAGCTAGGAACGATATAGGTTTTTCGACCTACGTCTCTCGCATAGCTTTATACTTTCGAAAGAAATCATTGGAATTTTCAATGGCTATGAAAACGTTTTAGATATGAAAAGAATATATGTATGTGTATATATATATACACCAATATGGATAATGATTTTTATGGTTTAATATTAATAATCTTTCCGTGATATTTAAAATTCTTTCGAAAGTTAGGTTTATTAGAAGTATGATTTATTAGAAATATGATTAAATATGTTATCTTTTGGTCATTTAAATTTCGCTCGATGAAAAAAAAAAAAGGAAATATTAGAAAATTACAGACACTTAGATAATTTTGTTATTGCATTTGAAAAAAAAAGAAGAAAAAAAAGAAGAAATCATTATGATATTTTAATGTTTCTTCAAAATTGTTAGGATTAAAGAAATGAAAGACTGTCCTTTCAAAGAGAAATCGTGACATTTTCGTAATTTAAATTACTCGTACTGTATTAGAAATATTTAATTTCGTTATAATTTGGTAAAATGATTAATAACTTTGAAGAAAAGATTTAATATAATCGTCGTTTAAAATTCGCTCTTAAATCGTGTATAATAGAATAATGATTAATGCATCTAATGATGAAAAAAAGAAAAAAATAAGAAGGGAAAAATTTTTTAAAAATAGAAAAGAAAATGACGATATATGTATGTTCATATATATTATTTCGCTTATGAATTCCATTGGAACAAATAATTAATAACTTTAATCTTAATCGAGATAAGACTAATATCCGTCCTTGTAAAAAAAAAAAAAAAAAAAAAAAAGAAAAAAAAACAAACAAGAAAAAGAAAAAATAATAAAAAAAATCTGTTATAAATTCGAGGAACAAGGAAAGAAAAGAAGAAAGAAAAAAAAAAAAAACTTGAATAGCCCTAATCTTAATCGTGATAAGACATACATTCGTGATTTAATATTTATTGCCATTATAAAAAAAAAAAAAAAAAAAAAAAAAAAAACGAAAAATAATAATTAATAATAACTTTCAATGGAGTTTATCGAGGTATGTGACATTGTTTCGTTTAAAATCCATTTTGTTGTTCTGTTGTAAGATTTTAATGAAAGAAAAGGAAAAGAAAAAAAAAAAGAAGAAAGAAAAAAGAAAGAAAAGAGAGAGAGAGAGAGAGAGAGAGAGAGAAAAAGGAATGAATAATTGATATTAAAACTCACCTTAAGAAGTCGCCTGAAATAAGGGCTGCAGGCGGAGAGGACGACCTTGTGAGCAGTGAAACTGCTACTATCGCAGGCTAATGTCACGTCGACGAAATCCTCTTCGTCCCTAAGATGACGAAATGAGCTAAGGATGCTCGAGTGGAAGTCGTTCCACCTGAGTGAGTATTGCTGCTCGCCGCTCGACGAGGACGAAGAGGCCGCCATGGCGTCCGTCCCCTCGGGACCCACGGCCGAGGGCACCAGAGGTGCTATCGTGCTCACTCTGCCACCCCAACGAGGACACCCTCTCTCCCTCTCTCTCTCTCTCTCTCTCTTTCTCTTTTACTCTCCCTTTCTCTGTCTCTCTCTCTCTTTCTCTCTCTCTCTCTCTCTTTCTCTCTCTCTTTCTTTCCCTGTCTCTGTACCTCTTTCTCTATCTCACTTTGTCACCACCCACTTTCCTGTGCTTGATTTTTTTTTCTTTTTCTTTTTCCCTTTCCTCCTCCCCTCTTCTCCCTCGTCCTCACCCTTATTCGTTTCCTTTTTATTTTCACCTTTCCGCAGATACAGCAACAGAAGGAAAAAAAAGAATTTTCTCTTGGCACTTATCGGCACTTATCAAGATGACCTTGAAAACTATATATATGTATATATATATATATGTGTGTGTGTATACTTAGGTGAACGACGTATAAGAGAGGTCAACGACGGCAATGATTATTACGAAATTCTTTTTTCGTTCGTTCGTTCTTTCTTTCCTTCTTTCTTTCCTTCTTTCTTTCTTTCTTTCTTTCTTTCTTTCTCTCTTTCTCTCTCTCTCTCTCTCTTTTTTCTTTACTCGACGAACTTGATGATTCTTTTTAAATTGGTAGAGTAAAAGGACTTAAGATGGTGGTAATGGCGTTAGAGCACAGGACTTAATGATGGTGGTAATGGTGAAGGTAATGATGGCGTTGTGGTGATGGTGGTTATGGCGTTAATAAAAGTAAGAGGAATTATCATCGGCGATTAGGCCAACCAGCCTAGTGTCACAGTAAGAATGATTCCATTGTTAACGATCATCCGACGTGTTGCGTCTTAGTTGTCGCCTTCGTCGGTTCACCGTATGTATTTTTCTGAAATCATTTTAGTTTATTATTATTACTCGTGTGTATATATATATATATGTGCGTGTGTGTGTGTGTGTGCATGTGTGTGTGTGTGTGTGTGCGTGCGTATATATGTATATATTTATATGAAATATAGTTTTTATAATTGAAAAATCATATGAAATATTAATGAGTTTCGTTTACCTCGTCTTTATATTTTGAAAGAAAATTTCTTCTTGAGGAAAAAAGTATTATCTTCTTAGATTGTATTACTTTTTTTGTTTTTTTCCCCCTTTTATTTCGTACTCTTTCCTTTCCTCGATTTTATAAAAATTCGATCGTTCGATCGATCCACGATCGAACCGCGATCGAGCCTACGCTAAAAATTATTTTTTAGCTCGCTCGTATATCTTTTTGCCCATACTGCTGATGTATTCTCTAAATGATAATGAAGGTCCCGTCATTCCGTCATCAATAATTTTCGTGAAACAGGTCGATTAATCCGTCGAATCTTGTTTCTCTCTCGCACTATTATTCTATCGAGTTCAGAAAAATCGTTTATCAGAGCGACACCTGATTCTCTTCTCGAAATCACGTCCTTGCTTATCATGCCCCCCTTGAGAGCTTTCGCTTATGATTTTAATTCCTCTTTTATTTCTTCTCCTCCTCCTCCTCCCCCTCCTCCTCCTCCTCTTTCTTCTTCTTCTTCTTCTTCTTCTTCTTCTTCTTCCTCTTCTTCCTCTTCCTCTTCCTCTTCCTCTTCTTCGTCTTCTCCTTCTTTTCGTTCCTTCTCAGCCACCTTTACCACAATTCCCTCTTCTGTAATTAAAAAATATCAATGATATAAGAGATTAAACGAATGATACAATTTTTTGAACAAATATATGTATACGTAGGATTGACCGTAAAAGTTCCTAAGTGATTTTACAATTATTACTTTTAATAGTTTATACAAAAAATTCCCTAGGCCTAGTGTAATTTTACAAGTCAAACATTAGCCTCTAATTATCGGAAATAATTATTGATTTTTAAAATCATCTAATAATTTTTAGCAAATTCTTTATATATATATATATATATATATTTATTTACTTATATAATAAATATATAGAATATTCATTTTATATAATAAGACTACGTTGTTAATATTTTTATAATATATGTACATCGATTAATTCAAAACACTCTGTATATAAATATGTATATATACGTATATTAATATTAAGTAGATTAGATCAGAATATATTCCGTTTTACTTTTACGATTCTTTGACTTTTATTTTCTTTTTTTTTTTTGTAACTTTCTCTCTCTCCCTCTCCCTCTCTCTCTCTCCCTCTCATTCTCTTACTCTCTCTCTCTCTCTCTTTTTTCTCTCGTTCTCTCTATGAGCTGTCAATTTATTTTTGCTTTCTTGACGCACAAAATTACGGGAGTATTAAGGAAAAAAAAAAAAAAAAAAAGACGAAGTAGACTAGCGAAAGTTTTAAGAATTTTTAGAATAAAAAGAAAAAAAAAAAAAAGAAAATAGAAACAAAAAATATTGTCGAAGAAAAATTGTAGGAAGTTTATTAATGATCGAAGTCTGAAAAAATTACGTATACGTTACTTCACTTTTGTTATATACATGTATACATGTATACATACATATATACATAGATATATAGGTTTATTCGTAATGCTAAATATATCAGAGATGTGCAGGAAAGCTTGTCGATTCAACGCATGAATTCCAAACGATTCCCTTTTACTCTGGCCTGATATCACATGGATGTACCATACCTACGTATGTATATATGTACATACAAATCGCGTACGTTTTACATATGTTACAGTAGTCCGATAGCTCGTACATCGCATTTAACTACATACGATCGAGTTCACGATTTTCCATTAGGAATAATTTACTGATTGTGCAAGAACTACATTTAAACTGTCAAGATACACATTTTCCTGTTTTTTCTTTCTCTCTCTCTCTCTCTCTCTCTCTCTCTCTCTCTCTCTCTCTCTCTCTATCTCTATCTCTCTCTTTTTTTTCTCTCCTTTTTTCCTTTTTCCTCTCTCATTTTCTTGAGACAAGATTCAATTTTACATATGAAATACTATAATATATATATATAAATATATATATAAATATATATACACTTTTTTTTATTAAAATATTATACTCCATATAAAGTTTTAAAAATGTATGAGTTTAATATAATATTGTAGAGTTTTTAACATTTATTAAAATATTATACTCGGGCGCATCGGACTTCATAAGCATTAAAAGTTCTCTCTCTCTCTCTCTCTCTCTCTCTCTCTCTCTCTCTCTTTCCTTCCTTTCCTTTATATACAGTATAATAATTTAATTAAAAAAAAAAAAAAAAAAAAAAAAAAAAAAGAAAGAATATCCTATATCGTTTGCTTAGACATACGATATATTAAAAAACTGCGAATGATTATATTCCACGAATTATAATCCGTACGAAAAAATAGGACGGAGTATTAATAACAACGGACAATCATTATTTCTCAATGCAAATATTATATTCGCGTCGGTGAAAGGGGGGGGGGGGGGGAGTGAAGGGGGTAGAGGGGAAAAGAAAAGAAAAAAAAAAAGAAAAACTACAAACGATAAAAAAAGCAAAATAAAAGAAAAAAAAATTACGGAAAGAAAATGCGTAGCGGGAAATGCAAGTGCGAATGCGTCGAATGAATTACGTCGGATGAATTACTGGGTACATGATAAGAGATGGCTAACAATTGCCGCGTAATGCGAAGAACGTGCGTTTGCTATGATACTTGGAGAATCAGAATGTATATATGTATATATATGTATGTATATGTATGTATTTTTTACGCCTACGTGTATCGTGATATAACGTTGAAGTTATC